TGGGAAAATTCTACTACCAGTCCTTCATCACCTTACACGAAATAGGGTGAATACATCTCATTAACTGAGTACAACCCCAAAGAAAAAATCTCTTAAATTTTGACTAGATAATTGTTTTTATTTCTTATTTATGGATTTCCATAATTTCCAAGCCATCTTTTGCCACGTCTTTCATCTAAAACTCAATCAGGTATTTGAACCCCTTTTAGGTATGATTGTAACATCTTCCAGTGTGCCTAGTCGATACGTTTTTGACACAAAAGCACAAAGATAGGGTCCTGCCATGCCATGCAGCTTTTACGCTTTATGGGGTTTATCTCCACTATGTCAATACAATCAACTGGAGTATAGGTCGACCTATGGGCGCACGATTGGTTTCAGACTTCCATTTGCAGAGCTGGCTAGATATACGTTTCGGATCTCGAACACTTCCTCCATTTTGCTGGTAGGAACTGTAGTGAAGATCATATCAAGTCACAGTCACTACTGATATTGTTGTCGTCTCCGTCTCACTGCGTTCCCGAATGCTCTGACTGCCTCTTTCTTATACGCTCAGAATTTGCACTAATTTAAGGTTGGAATACCTTTCGTTTCTTTTAAATAAGCGAATGAAAGAGATTCGCAAGTTGGCTTTATCGTAAGCTGAGGGTGAATTGCCTCGGAGCTGGGACTGCAGATTTGTGCTGATAGGTCCTTGGTGCATTGCCCTACGACCCCAATGAATCTTAGCTGAGCTTTCATCCTTCGTGTGAGGATATCGTTAGAACGGGACACCTTTCTTAACGAAAATGCAAAACCCAGTTTTTCCGCATTTCCAATAATTTATTCGTCTGTTGTTTGTGTAGCATTCTCGTTGGCGCCACAATCCACGCTCTTATGAAAAAATATGACTTCTACAATCAGGTGAGCTTAGCTGGGCTGATTTTCACATTAATGAGCTTAAAAGTGAACTAAAACCAGTCTGGAAACTTGACAGAAAGTCATATTCTTGCAATTTTACATTTTTCAAGACTTGAAGGACACAAAATATCCAACTCCCATCCAGAGCAGCGTCATACTGTTCGTCGAACTCCTGAATACTCTCATTTATTTGTATTCAAAAGATGGACATATCTGCTTTATTTTTTAGACCCAAGAAGCGGTAAGAATGTCTTCATTTCGCATTTATCTACCCTCAGATTTCGGGCCCCTCTAGGAGCTGTCTAAAACAATTTTTAATATGAAGAGTAAATGAGTTTCGATGAATCTCCTGGGATAACATTGTTGGGGAGACTTGCATTTCATATAAAAGTGCATGGAGAAGAGAGTTGAGGATCGATCTCACCATAAGACGACGGCCGATGCCCTTTGTACTGCAGCCGTTTGGCTTTACTACGATGTTCAGGCTGACAAAGTCCACAAGACATCCATCATCGTTTCGGGCGAAGACGTTGGAGGATGTCTCGTGGACGGCATCATTACGAACGTCGTAATAAAGCCAAACGGCTGCAGTACAACTTAAATCGGCCGGCGTCTTCTGGTGAGATTAACCTACGAATCGCTTCATCATGTACTTCCATACGAAATGAAAGTCTTTCCACAAATCCCATCC